CAGAAGCTTTTTCCACGTACAGTTCAGGAACTCCTTCAATGCAGCTTAAAGTTTTCGCACTGTTTGTTTTGAGGATTACTTTCTGCTCTGTCTTTCTGTCTGTGTGTTTTATTGATGGTGTTGTCAGGCAGATGGTTGGTTATCGCAACGGTGACCGCAATGAGCCGCTTTACCCTTTTTTTACTATCTTGGTTCTCTTTGCTCTTTTTCTACACTGCGTAAATCAAAGTGTCTGCATTTTGTTTGAGTAGATTGTTACGAAAGGTAGTTCTAAGTTATGTTTCGTCTTTAAAAAATACTGGATGTTGTGGCGTTGTTTAAATTCTTGGGAAATTTTCCCTTATTTTTTAAGTTTATGTAGTGATAAAAATACAAAACAATGGTAAATACTGTAGCAGCGGTATACAGGACTTTCAGCTCAAGACTAATTTGCAGTTCTTAACCCTACAACTGACCTGTGCAATGTTTTTGCATGAAAAGCAATCATTAATTTAAGCTGAAGGATTCTGAATGTGCTGTTATGCTGTTCTATGATTTATGTGGAAAATGAATTTATCTCTGAAGATACTTCTTACCCCTGCCCTATCTAAGCTTAGCCACATTTATCTTAAATCCTGAGTCTTTTCCGTTAGCCTATTTTCTCATTTCATTGTTTTTCTAAGTTAATTGTGCTAGCACCTGAGCTTTGGGTCAAAGTCTTTTGCCACTTGGTAAAATCAACAGTTGAAAAAGTTTATTACTTAAAGATTTAAAGAAAATTCTTAAGTTTTATTCTTTTGTAGCAATATTGATTTAAAAAGAGAAGATCAATGCAAATTATTTGTCCCACTAAAAAAATACAATTAACATAAATAGGGTACTTTAACAAATTTATCTTATTTCACTTTCTTTTTTTAACTTGAAAAGAAGCCCCTCTGTACCACTTTCCAGCTCCAGATGATCTGCACAGTTGATGTACTTAGAATTTCAGTTCTTCTACTTTTATCCAGGCTTTACAAACAAATGCAGACACCCATTGCAAGGCAAACATTTGCTGAGTGTGTGAGGCAGACAGATGCTGGCAATAATGGGCTGTCTATCTGCCGTGCAGAGGACGGCTGGGCCCTGACCTCCATTTAGACGCCCGGAGAGAGAGATAAGCTCTGTGATGAGGATTCCCCTCAACCCCAGCCAGGTCACAGGCCTTCTGTCAGTCAACGCACACATCTCAATCTCACTGGTTGTGTGGGTGGGTGGGTGGGGGGTATGCTCCAGGTTCTGTTTGAAGCAGCTGCCTTTCTATTCTTTTTTGTTTTGTTTTCATTTTTTATTGGCCCCTAATAGTTTGGACATAATTTGGCAATTTTGCAACATTGTTGAGCAAAACCCACACATTCATCACCACTTGAGTAGATTGCCGCAATGCACTTTATGTAGAGGTTAATGGTTCCTCTGTTGCTCACCTCCAGAGTGTCCAAAATGCAGCTGCATGTCTAAGTGGCACACAAAAACATCAGCGCATTTTCCTGACAGCCTCACTCCAGAGTTTGAGACACTATATGGAATGAAACAACTCCTGGAGTACATCTAGATCTTTGAGTTCTTCAGAAGAAAGACCCCAATGATGAACTACTAAGTGAATGTTGGTTCTTTGAGACCTGGCTTCCATTCTTGCTGGGCTTGGGATCCAAACATGGGACTATCAAGACTGACAGAGGCAGACTGGGGCAGCTGTGGTGAAGTGGTTAGGGGAGTCGTCCTGTAACCGGAAGGTTGCTGGTTCGATCCCCCATTCCAGCCGTCTCAGTTGTTGGGTCCTTGGGCAAGACACTTCACCCGCCTTGCCTACTGATGGTGGTCAGAGTGGTGGTACACCACGTTTCAGTAAGAAATCCACGCAAATCTTTGTACATGAGGCCCCTGTTCTTGTCAAACTTCACAATTATTTTAGTGGTCAAGAAGAAAGGTGAGCCCACCTACCAGGGAAATAATAGTTTCATCTTCCAGGACCTTTCAGTCCAGGTGATAGTTGAAGTGAACATGTGAGTAGCTTATTTAGAAAGGAATATGGTTCCAAAAGGTGCTTCTCATTGAGCCCATGCATCACTACAAATGAAGAAAAACACATCTTCAAAAGCCTGCAGAAAGTGGATGCTTTCTCAGTAAAGCTTGTTATCATGTCATTAAACTGCAGCAAATTCTGTCATTCCTGAAGAAGGAAAAATGTCAGGTAGCATTCCTTCAGGAAAGTCACCTTTCAGATTTGGAGCTTATTAAATGAAGGAGGAACTGGGTGGGAAACATTATATTCTTCCTGCATTTCAAAACAGTAGAGTTGCTGTCCTACATTGATGTCTGCATTCCACTTGTGAAAAAAATCAAAACTGATGAAGAGAATCAGTACGTTCTTTATCTGGTTATTTTAGTGACAAGCATGTTGCTTTTGTATCCCAGTATACTCCAACACTTTATGAGCAATCTTTTATCTCTTAACTCCTTTCTGATTTGGCAAAATTCTTATCCTTGTTTATGCTTTTGGGAGATGACTTTGTGTATTTAACCAAAATATCGACATGCCGCCTCCTCACTCCAATCGCTAACTTTTAAATATGTGATGATACTCAATTTGTATGAGATCTTGGGTATATGACTTCCCCAAGAAAAGAAGTATGCATTTTTCTTTTTCTTTTTTTTTTTGCTACTTTTTTTAGGTCTTCTTAAGTATAGATTAAGCCAAATGGCCTAGAAACTCTCTTTGATCATTCTTTTTGTGTGATGATTTTGTTTCCCTTTTTTGATTTAGTTTATTTCTGTAGGAATTTTTTTAAGGATACATTTGGTCTCTCCATCTCATTTGGTATGAATATTATAAGAGCTCCTTGTATATACAAATTCCCCTTCAGGTATTTAGTTCTGATCACAATAAAGATGAATAAATTAAGTCATCTGATGAATGAATTACCAGGTATAATCAAAATGTTATTGGTCAGGAAACTGAATTATTCTGTTTTAATACAGCAGCAGTTCTAGGGGTGGGGCCACAGGAGCATTGGCCCCAGCTGAAATCTGATTGACCCCCTGAAATGCTCTTGTCCTCTCACTCATCTGTCCTTTGCCCAAGAGTGATGATGGTGGGTGCAGTTCCAAACACTAGAGGCGCTAATGAGTCAAATAGGGAAGTCCAACATCAATCAAGCTGACGGAAGTCTTCCTCTCTTCTTAAGAAAATTTGAACAATCCTGCAGAAAAAGTCTTTACTGTGCAAGCTTTTTTAAAATTATGTTACATTACAAGTGTTTGAACATGTATAATTTTTTAAATGTTTAACCTTCCCAAAGCAGGAATTTGTGTGCAAGGGTGCTGAACAAAAATTTGGCCCCTCTATGATTATTGCTGTCCCTTTATGGCCCCTTAGAAAAATCGTAGATTCACCACTGCTTTAACAAGAACTTAAGAATGTGGTAATCAGATAAAAAAGTGTCACTATTCTTCTTCTATACAGTATAAAACTGTTCACAGGTTGCATATTACTTCTGTTATCCCGCATAAATTAAAGCATTCCAACTCTACTGTCTGCGCAGATTACTTTCTGAAAGGGTACATATTTCCACAATATTTGGGAGTCCAAAGTCCCTTTTTAAATTATGAAAGTTTATTTCTAATTAAATTAGTGCAATATTTAAAACCAAAATTAAACAAGACCTCAATGTTGTTTTTTATTGGTCTCTCAAGAGAAGTAACTGAACACAAACCTCTGACAAACTTCTCTTAATAACGCAGAAGTTCATTTTTGTGAAGTTGGAGCTAGGACTCCCCTCCCAATGTTACACACTGGTACATAACACTTTTTAATTTTCTCCAAAATTATAGAGATCAGAAGCAAAAGTTAAAGCAACAAGAAGCGATGAACGGCCTCGCACCTTGGCGACACTCTGACCTTTGTTGCAGTACTGAGCAATAAGTTAACTTGAGCTGGATTTGACTCCAAATCTTTTCTGTAGTAGATGTAGATTTGGTGATTATTTTCTAAAACTTTCATTAAAATTTGTGCAGTGGTTTATGAGATTTTTAAAATCAGACACAAGAACAGAGTCATGGGCAAAAACATGACCATCCACCTTTGCTTTTCAGCAGCAGGTGATTAAAAATAATCATTCAAATTTTAGTCGGGATATAATAAACAAGACAACATACTGGTAAAATTTTAGGGGGGTGAGGGATAAGATATTTTCCATGCACATAGTTCAATTCTATTCCACAATAAACTACTGTATGTTACCTTCAGTTGTTATTAAAATACAGTATGTATCAAAATTAAATGCAACTTTGCATCATAGTCTGTCACTTTGAAATTGGCCTCTGTCTCTTTAAGAACCACCTACCGTTTCCTACACTCCCACTTCAGCACATCTTCACACCAGTGCTATAGGGGAGGGGTACTATTTATTTTTTATTTTATTTACCGTTATTTTACCAGGCAAATCCCATTGAGATCTCAGATCTCTTTTTCAAGGGCGGCCTGGGCCTGAAGGCAACCTATTGTACATGTTTTTGTGTTGTGGGGGAAACCGGAGTACCCGGAGAAAACCCACGCAAGCACGAGGAGAACATGCAAACTCCGCACAGAAAGACCCCAGGTCCGAACCGGGGATCGAACCCAGGACCTTCTTGCTGTGAGGCGTCGGTGCTAACCACTGAGCCGTCGTGCCGTACTCTGGGGGTTGGGAGCACAGCTGCAGACTGAGATCCAGGGCGGAGCTTTGTGTGAATAGGCAGAGCTTTGTACCAGCAAATGTTTAGGCAGCTCCACATGGCTACCACAGGAGATTCAAGGATTCAAGGATTTTTCAAGGTTTTTAATGAGGGAATGACATTATAGCATGATATATATTTTACAAAATACCCCCCTCCCCCCATTTAAATGTGCATTTAGGTCAGCGACAGTAGGAAAACAATATGTTGAAACTATTCAAACTGCTGCTCCTTCTCTTTTCAACAACTTGTCTGACTATGTCTTTCAGATCCAACGCTCTAGAAACAAACAGATGAAAGAAATGTTTCCAGAAGGCTTTGGTATCCATCACGCCGGGATGCTGCGGTCTGACCGGAGCATGATGGAGAGCGTATTCTCTAAAGGTCACCTCAAGGTGCTGGTCTGCACTGCAACTCTGGCCTGGGGAGTGAACCTTCCAGCCCATGCAGTCATTATAAAGGTACCTAATGTTTCTGTCTTTTCTTTCTTTTTTTTCATTTAAAAACTTGCCTCAGTTTTCTTATGCGTTTTTTGTGAGCATGCATGGAATATCAAGCCTATTTTACAAAACATTTCTAGCTAGAACATCAACGCCTGGTGATTTATTAATGGGCTCGGGTCTAATGGGCAGATTGACTGAATTAATCAAATAAGCATGAGGTCTCACATCAAAACCCAAGACAGGAGTCCATATATCAGTGAGTTGAATGTACAAACACAGACTTAACTATGTTATTTCCACAGTGACTGATGCTGTTTATTGGGAGCAGCACTTTGGCTCAGGCTAAAATAGCTTTCTTTTATTAGCCACAAGGCATCACTGTTCACTTCAACTACATTTAAATGTGCTTTAACTTATGTACCTGTTTATTCTGCTTTAGGATCAGGCACATAAAAGAGAAAGTGTCATTAGAACTGAACAGGTAGCTCAATAACAATGATAAGCATTTTGGACTCGCCTAAAGGCCCTGTCACACTACACAACTTATGCCAACTTATGAAACATTTTTTACGTCTAAATTTCTAATAAAAATTATATATTTGATCAGCTTGTACGAGATATGTTATGTACACACTGAAAAGAAGCTTCCTGTTGATTTTTTTCAATTCCATATTCAATGTAGATGTCTTTAAAATGTTCAAAAGTTGGCATAAGTTGTCTAGTGTGACAGGGCCTTAACAGCCATTTATCAGCACAACCTACAGTACCCCTACTACCCCTGGAAAACTGGTTTAGTTTTAGTTGAAATTTTATTCTTTCAGTTAAAACAAGAAGAATTAGCATTTTCTGCAAAAATGCTGAATAGCAAATAACTGCTGAAATGTACTGAAGGTAAGTTGAAATAGTTGCCATAGTTCAACTGCTAATTCTAGTTACCAGTAAATAGTTTGGAAAATTGACATTTTAGCCCAATAATTGCTGAAACACAGCTGAAATCTGCTGCAAAAGGTGAAAGGGATCAAGGTGCATAAAGACACAAAAAAAAAAATAAATAAGGAGACTAAAAGGAGGCTTAAAGGGGAAAAAGAAGTGTTAAAAAAACTGTTATTTACTGAGGAGGCAAGAACCAAAAGACTGATTCAGATTATAGACCTGAACATTTAAATACTAATGAATAAAGCCATACACCCCCTTTCAGCTGGGCCAAATACTGACCTGTATTCAGTCTTGAGGTATTTGGCTCAGAACCAAGAAATCAAATAGATCTTTTACACAATCTTCTGACCGAACCACTCCCTCTGGGGCAAAAGACGTCACTGATATGGAAGCAGTTGGTCTTAAACACAAGTTCTGAAATCTGATGAAAAAAATACTTGTTTGTCTGTTGTGTTAGTGTAAGACATGTATAATAAGTATAATGTATAATATGTATAATAAGACATTAATCTGCCTCTTAAAATGTTCAGCCTGTACTGAGATGACCCATATTAAGAGTCACTCAGAACAGAGTGCACATTACTATTTAATCAGAGCTTAATCACAGTACATATGAAACACATAATTATGCATTTTTATTATCAAAAATAGTTCAGACATCTCAATGAAGAAAAAGAACGTGTAGTGCTTTTAAGAACAAGTGTTAAACAGAAGCATAATGAAACAAATAAGCAAAAGGGGCACAAATAGATACAAAAAGAAACAAAAAGGGCATGTATAGACACAACAAGGACACAAAGTGAACACAAAAATGATGAATAAAGAAACAGAAGAAAGGATACGAAGACAAAACATATTTGCTGAATCAACATTCACCAAATAATAAAATCTTCTGAATTTGAAGTTGGTTGCTTTGGTTAACAGCATGTTTTGTCAGTCTTTCAATTGACAATTGCATCACAAAGCTCCACCAGTTTCTGTGTACACTTCTTTTCATAAACTTGCACTGAAAATAAGACTCCTGTGAGTGATCATGCAGAGCCAAGCACAAGCTTCACGAGTGTGATAATAATAATGTTTCCATGTCCAAGCCTGCTCTGTAACATACTAGAGGTGTAAGAAAACATCGATACACTGAAATGTCACGATATTTCATTTCCCGATACTGTATCGATATTCTAAAGCCCTGTATCGATTTTTAATTAAGGTTTAAAATGTCAACCTTCTTGCCAACCGTTCATTTTATGTTGTAGTTCAGCCTCTGACCACTAGTTCGCAGCAGTGAGCCAGCCTCTACCTCTTAAGTGCCAGAGAGTAAGGGTAGCATTAGCATTGTAAGTAAACATTAGCTTTTCTTTTTTTTTCAGTAAGAGGTTTTTATTTAATAGAAATTTTGGACAAAAAAATCGCAATATATCGCCTTGCTTACAGTATCGCAATATATCGGGATATATCGTATCGTGACCCCTCTGTTATGATATGTATCGTATCGCCAAATTCTTGCCAATACACAGCCCTACAGTATAACATACACAGTAGAAAAGAAGTGACAGCATTCGATTCTCATATTAGTCCATTCAGATGATATTTAACTGGATGTTCTCACTGTTTATTTGTTCTGTTTGTAACAGGGAACACATATATACGATGCGAAACGCGGCACATTTGTGGATCTAGGTATCCTGGACGTCATGCAGATTTTTGGCCGAGCTGGTCGACCCCAGTTTGACAAATTTGGAGAGGGCACTATCATCACCACTCACGACAAGCTGAGCCATTATCTGACCCTGCTGACCCAGCAGAATCCCATCGAGAGCCAGTTCCTGAACAGCCTGGCCGACAACCTTAATGCAGAGGTTAGTCTCCACAGATTTTTCTTTTCTAAATATAGCTTTTTGAAGTTCTAAGAAAAATATCTTTTAGTGGAACTTTTTCTTTTTGCTGTATGTTGGTTTTACTAGTTTAATTCTGTTTGGGAGCTTAAATCTGTGAGATCCACCTCTGTCAGTCTGTTGACAGAGGGGGGGCTGCCATACTCTGATCACCATCAAGTAAGGTGGGTGACGTGTCTTTCCCAAGGACATAACAACTTTAACAGATGGAATGGGGGATCGAACTGGCAACCCACCAGTTACAGAACGACTCCCCTGACCACTCTGCCACATCTGCTCCAAACAGATAAACAGATTATATGTAGTTTGATCAGAATTGGACATATTTTTCTTCCTTATTATACCATGAGATGACGTTTGTTGTAAACTGAGGATTTTGTCAAATGTACATCAGTTTATATAAATCATGACCTTTTTTTTACAATATGTGGTGATCTGAAACAGAAGTGTTAGAAGTGATAATAGCAAACAGAAGCACAACTCTGGCTGCACTGTGATGAGATGTCCAGAAGATGGAGGCACAGACCACAAATACACATGGTGCTGTGAGGTTCTGTGTTGTCCTGCAGATCGCTCTGGGAACCGTCACCAATGTGGAAGAGGCTGTGAAGTGGCTCAGTTACACCTACCTATATGTTCGCATGAGGGCCAACCCGCTGGCGTATGGCATCAACCACAGGGCTTTACAGGTTGGTGAAATCTGGTTAAATCTAAATACAACCAAGCTGACAGCAAATATAAATAACACATTTAAAACCATAAAAAACTGACCTGCTGAGTCATTTTTGTTAAATGTTGTCTTTAATTACATTATATTGTGCCACTAACTGATAGTAGATGCAAAGTTAAACCTCCTAAATAAAATTTTTTTTAAAAAATATATGTAATTGCTGAGCACTGAAGAAGATGAAACTCAGTTGTTTAAGTTAAAACAAAAATAATGCAGAATCACAAGTGAAGAAGACGAATGCAAAAGCTAAATTTAAGAAAACAGCAGTTAAAATTTAGCCGAGGCAACAGTTTCAAAAGCAGATTTTTCAATTAGGAAAACAATAGCTTCAAAATGGCTAAATGTTAAAGTCGAAATTACCAAATCATCTACCTAAAATGTAATAAAACAGAAAATGGTTACTACAATTAGCAAAACTGTTTCCAAAAGCCAAAAAAAAAATAATGGGCAAGCATTTGAAGCTAAATGCAGATCTCCCTCCAGTTTGAGTAGGTTGAACTCAGCCATCTTGGATCTGATTGACTCCAAAAAGTAATCAGCTCAAGACATATACCCATTCACTTTAGCTGTGATTTACAAACAAATCCTCCCCACTGTTCTCGAGACATGGTGGGAACACACACAGACAGATAGACACACGGAGGTGATTACAGAATTGTCCAAAATGGAAGTTACAAGTAGTAAAATGTTTATTAGTGTACTGTACTACAAAAAGTAGCATAAAAGGTAAAAAATGATGTGAGTATACTTTATATAATAGCTTTAATTTCATTTATTACAAAAAATATTTCAAATGAAGTTAAATATTTTGAAAAGTGTTTTTTATCCAACTACATGGAAATGACCTGTATAATTTACGGTAATGTGTAAAATAGTACAAATTCTGCAGAGAAAATGTACAGACGAGACATTAAAAAATAAAATCAGTGTGAATGCTGACTCAAAAGTTCATGCAAATGACTTGATTTCAGTAATGACTTAAAATAGAATAATATGTGTCAGAAAATTTGACTTAGCGTACTAATTGTAATTACATATACTTTACGAAGATTTTTTTCATCTTGTTTCAGATGGATCAAGGTTTGGAGCTCTACAGGAAGGAGCTGGTAATAGAGTCGGCTCGAAAACTGGACAAGGCTCGAATGATTCGTTTTGAGGAGCGCACTGGATACTTTTCCTCCACCGACCTCGGCAGAACTGCTAGTCACTTCTACATCCGATACAACACCATTGAGGTAGAGTCTCCTTGACCTAGAGACAAAACATCAGCACACTAGTGGACTCAAACTTTATCACATTTCTGAACACTGATACAGTCAGAGGCACCACCTCCACCCAACACTACACAAGATCAAACTTTTCTTTATCTCATCGTCAGCCTCGGACACGTTAAGTTGTTGTATTTCTGTAATTCAGTGATGAGCCAAACATTTTCAAAATTTTACTCCACTACATTAAATCATCTACATCAGGGTTCTTAACCTTTTTGACCTCGGGGCCCAATTTATTGAACATAAAGTGACACGAGGCCCAGTCACACATTACCAATGTACGGATCAAAATGATCATTATTCTAAATTTTGGTTTAATTTGTATTGTACTGTATTTGCATTATAACTAAATTAAATACACTTACAGTTTAAAAGTAAAACTCCTGTCAAATAATCACAAGACATGATTATGACAAACTTTTTTTATATTGTAACCTAAACACACACACACACATGTGTATATATATATATATATAT